ACCAATAAGTGTACCTGGTATGGCAAAGACTGGTTTTGTTTTCTCCACAGGTCCGTAGTCATGCCTCCAGCTTCACAGATTCTATGAAGTCAGAGTACACGTCAACAAGACGCAGTATGGCTGGCCATTCAACTCGAAGCATTCGGTTGCAACACCTTGCCATGGAACGGTTGGTTCTCCTGGCAAGTGAGGAAAACTTTATTAAGTTCTTGATTCGTTTGCGGCCATAATATGGTCTCGCAATCTCTGTTGATTGTGCTCTGGATTCCTAGGTGTGATGCATGGGGGTCTGGCAACGGAGATGATGTCTTAGGTTTGCGGGTATCACAACTCTGGTGCATCTGAATATAATACCATTCCGTGTGGCTAATTCGTCCAGTACTCTCTGGTAGAAAAGTGGCATCTCCTGCTTTAATATTTGGCCATCCAAACACCATTTGGCAAATGATTACAGAGTTGTGTCACGAAAAGTTTCCCCCGGATACGCTTGAGTCTATCAAGAGAGACAAACACATCAGATTCCATAGTGATATTTGCTATCTTCTATCCTAATCCTAGAAAATGATGTGGTGTGGCTTTCTGTTGACTTCTCGTGAATGATGTACATTTCTGGGTCAGATTTAGCCTGGACGTTGAGTTGAGTGAGTATTTCTGGAATCTGAGCTGCATGATGAGGATTGGCTTGAAAATTAAAAAACGTAAGACTGATTGCACTTACATGGGGTGAGACTTCGCAATGCCTTATGCCACTGGATTGCCCTCTTTATTGAAAACGGCTCAAAACGCCACATCGAGCTGTCACACTCAATGGACACCTTTTTTTCGATGTCATAAAATTGCAGAACGTGCCCTTGTCTTGGACACAGTCAAACAATTGTTGATGGGCTCAGTTCAGGTTGTTTTTTTTTGGAGTTTGTTCTACTTCTGTTTTCACCATGCTGCTTTACTCAGGAAGTAGTCTTAACCTTTCTGGATGATTTCCTGTTGTTCCAGACTGTGAAGCGTTCTTTTACGTATTGTCGTGCAGAAGCACAACTTTTGCCAGCTCTTCCAGGTTGATGTGATAAATGGCCTAGAAGTTTTCAGAAGAAGTCCGTGAATATGTTATTGTACTCTTGCAGTATGTCAGGACCGTGTCTTTCCGCATTAATTACATTTTCCTGGCTAAACAGTAACAGGTTTAGTGCCCCACTGGCTGTACCTTTACAGCAAACAGGTCAAAGCTGACTCAATAATTTACATTCAAAGTGGATGAGCTTTGTTATTCCACTGTCCGTCTTGCACCAGAGAGTATTTGCTCCGACGGAATTGATGACTGATTTGTCGAACAGCCTCTAATTTTGCTGTTGATGGGTGCGACGGCTCACGTTTTGGTAATCCTTAAATGGGTGTGCTTTCAAATATAGCTGCTGATTTGCCACCTTAGCGTGGTCTTGCATGCAAATCTCCAAAGTACTGAGTGCCCATGGAGACTGCATTTACGTTGAACATACTTTCATCATTGCTGAGATCCATCTGCATCAATCGCAATTTGATGAATTTTTTAGGCTTTGTGGTTTTCTTTTGCCTGCAGAGTGACACACTTTTGCAAAAGAGTTTTGTCTGTGGCAATTAGGGTATTTTTGTAAGCTGTAACACTTCCTGGATGGTTTTCTCCACAGTACTTGCGTGCTTTCTGTTGGTATGGTCGGCTTTACGATTTGGCCTTAGTTTTGACTTGATGCACTTTTTTCTCAGTCTGAAAATGACAGTAGATTAAGCGTTGTGGCTTCACAGCTTCTACAGATATCGAAGGCTTTTGAGCAACTTTTTACGAATTTGCGCAAATGGTTGAGAGACTGTTCTCGTATTTTCGTTTGCATCGTGTGTAGCTGAGTTGAATTGAATACATCGTGTTCATTCGCTCTGGCTTAAAATGCTCATAAAGTTTCAATATTAACATACCGGTCTCTTCATTCCACCCCTCATTTTCATTTTTCCAAATATAGTCTTTTTGGTGGCAGCCTTGGGGAAACTGGAGAAATATGCCATTCTCTACCTCAAAAACATGACTTTGTACTACATTTGCAGTAGACATGGCCGCTAAAATACAAAGCTCAGGGGCACTTGTTTGATGTTGCCATAAACTTGACAAAAACGTGAATTGAAAACAGCTGAGGAAACGGCTTGGCTTCTTGGTGACAACTTTTAACGTGCCATAGACATACAATCTTTTGATTGCTGCCAAGGACCCTGACCTGATGAGCCGTGGCAAAAAGGAAATGTCGATGGCACCCCTGATGTCTCTTTGCA